ATCCGCTTTTTAATTAATCTGACTAAAGCCATGTCATGCACTACACAGCTATAACGATACGATAACTTGTAAACACGCGATGGTTAGTGGGGAAAAAATTATAAAATAACATTTATATAACGCGTGCTCTGATTGGTCGAAACGCGTGTTTTGATCAGGCCATCCAAACACGGAAATTTAAAGTAAAAGTTTTTTAAAGTGAAATTTTAACACGGAAAGTTGTTATTTTATAAAACAATTACTTTATGGTCTCATTGCCGCGTGTTTGGATCCGGCCATCCAAACACGGAAACCATAAAGTAATTGTATATAATATTGGTGTCTACGCTACAGCGAAAATGATAAAATTATCGTTTGACGATAACGATAAATTGTTTACCAATCGCTTTGCCTATACAAGTTACCGTATCGTTATCGTTGTGTAATGTGACCGGGCCTTAGCTAGCGTTAGCATATACTCTCGAGAGCCTAGTGCTTTTTGCGCAATTTGATTCGTTGCTCTTCTTCGGATATCCTTACGCTATTCATTTCATTTCTGATACAGCGTTGGGCGATTTTCGTTCTTTTCGGTCACTTTTGTTTTGTTTTGTTACGCACTATAACAACGTATTGTGTCGGTGAATATAGTGCAGGGATATTCACGTCCACGTTCATCGCTTCGGTGAACATCTTTGCACTTATATATAATTGTTAAATATTTAGCTATATACATGTATCAACATTAATGCCATGACAAAATATATCATACCAAGGCGAACAAAGCTAGCAAAATGTCCGACTTTTTGAGAAAGTTCAGCCCAATTTTACACTGACTGGAAGATGCTAAGGAGAATTGCACCACGCCAGCCCATCTATCTCGTACGTTTGTGGATTGGTAAAACATTTTCCAGGTTCCTCCAAAAGGAAGACTTCGTTTTCATTTTAGCATCCGAGCAAAATTGATTGAAGATTTGATTGATTCGGCATGGTTTGATTGAAAAACATACCGAAACCTAAATACTTAAAATAAATATATATTTGAATGCATGCAGTCGTAGTCTTGAATCACAGTGCGCCTACAACCTGACGACGTGAACAACATCTTGCAAGTTTTCGTTCCCTAAAGAGAATAAAAGGTACATATGTATAATATATTTCTGGCATGGCAGTTATTTGATTATCCAAATAAAATATATTAAACGTTACAGAAAGAAGACATATCGTTAAGTATAAACGTGAAGTAATTCTGATTCATTTCCGCAGATTCCTATGGATGATTCCCGCCATAGACTAAATTTTTATCTAGGCAATAAAAACAAAATCCATATCACCACAGCTAGAAAGAGCATGCTACAATTAGTACAATTGCAAAGTAATACAAATTAATACAAAATTTCCAAATTTCCCATGGCTATGTTTTCAGCATTTTACATGTAAATATTTCGCGGCCAAACTTTGCTACTTTACTAATTTTGACAAGCTCGTACTCGGCGTGAGAAAGGATAATTACCGCACATGAGTAGCCTATAGTATTATAGGTACCGTTCAGGCCCTTTCATTGAGAGTGAGTAAGAGTGATCAAATTAAATATTTAGTATATCATAGTGAGTGAACGAAATAGATATTCAGTAAATGAGAGTGAGCAAATTAAATATTCAGTAAAATAGAGTGAGCAAACTTAATATTCAGTAAATGAGCTGTTCGCTTACTATTCGTGATTCCCTTATTTGTACATAGCCATATACGTCTGATATTTGTAAAATTTCGACTTTTTCAAATTTCCAAATGTTTGGAAATTTGATAATACATAATATTTTGCCGCTGCATGTCTGCTCAGTTATAGATACACAGTATCACATCATAATACAATATTGTATTCAATTACAATAAAAATGACTTCCATCATCGCAAAACGTACAAAAACCGCCTATAAGACTCTTAAACAATTTTTGATTCTGCAAATAGTCTTTCAGTTATATACTAAAACTGTCTGTACCAGTGCGGGTAGTACCAATGTGAAAATGATGAGTTGAGTGGTTTTATTACTACCTTAAAAAGTAAGCATAACTCGACGTTTCGAGCGAAAGCCCATCGTCAAGAGTTAGTAGCAGGGATCATGGAAAATGCACGGTCTTAGAGAATTTCGACGAAGATTTTCAGGCCAAAAGTCTGGGGATCAGACACTTTTTTGTCCAGCGTGGCAATCCTACCTCTCTATTAGACGCTGCCTTTTTTAAGGCCTCCCAAATTCCCCGTTCTGACACCCTCACAGACCCTGTGTCTAATGTCACATGCAACAACAAAATCCCCCTAGTATTAAATTATCATCCCTTTAATTTCAAAGTTAGAGATGTCATCAACAAGAATTTCCATATTTTGAAAAACGACCCTGAAACATCTTCCATTTTCTCCGATGACCCCTTAGTTTCTTTTCGACACAGCAAAAATATCCGCGAAACCCTAGTCCATAGCTCCCTAGCACAGGCTTCGACGTCACAGAATGGCACTTTTCCTTGCATGTCGTCGAAATGTAAAACCTGTGATATTGTAGATTCTACCACTATTGTTTCGGCACCTAAATCCGTTTTCACATCAAGCACAATTTCACGTGCGCCTCCTTCCATCTCATGTACTGCATCTCTTGCAGCAGATGTGGCATGCTTTACATTGGGGAAACTGGAAGATGTTTAAGGACAAGGTTTGGTAAGCTTCGGCGTGCAGTTATTGGCAATGATGCTAACCAACCTGTTGCCAGACATTTTAATAATGGCAATAACAGTGTTTCAGATATGGTAATTCGAGCCCGCTGTCCAATTTCCGGAAGCAACGATAGCCGCAAACGACATGAAATGCGCCTCATATCCAAACCTGGCACTGTTCACCCTTCTGGTATTAATGAACGATTTACCTATATTTAATTCCTTTTGTCCTTGCCTGTCTATAGCAGACATTGACAACATTTATCTATTTACTACTTTTACCTTATTTGATTTTTGATTTTTTTATTATTATTTGTAGTAATTGTCTTAGCCTCGTGTTTATTTTTATATTATTTTTATATATTTTTTTTATTATATATTCGGTAATGCGATTTACATATTTGGTTTACACTTTGTTACGATTAAATCCATCTAATTGAGTTTTTTTGTCACGTGATGCTTTCATACACTTAGTATAAAAGTCCGTGCATTTTCCCCGATCCCTGCTACTAACTCTTGACGAAGGGCCTTCGCTCGAAACGTCGAGTTTCCTTCAGTTACTGCTGTTTCAAATGTGAAAATTGGACCAAAATTTTGCAGTAAGGACTGGGTAATAATTCACTTTTAGAATTCAATTATTTAAGTTTGGGGTTTAATTAATAATTTAATCTACAAGAACCTTCTTAAAGACAAGTTTCTCTAATACATTAATAATTAAGGCTCCAACTCTTGAATACAGATTATTAAATTTGATGCGTACAGACTGTTTGTAGAGCTCCTGTGTATTTTTCGTCCACCTCAAAAGCAAGCTCGTCTTAAACTACGCTTGTGTCATTAAATAGAAAAGTTCACTTACTTTAAAGAAACGAAAGGCAAACTCAGACCTTTTAAACATGATCTAGCTGACCTAGCGAACAGAATTAGAAGTTTTGGAACGAAAAAATAAATATTTATTCAGCTCTAGTATAGGTTTTCTATGTCTGGTACTTGGCCCACCCATAGAAGGATTCACAGCATTTGTTTAAAATAATCACCATTAAGGTCATCTCCCAAGCGACAACGAATCATCTTCTGAATATATGGTGGAGACTTGAAGATGTATTTTGTTAAATATCTGAACGTTGATGATAAACACGAAGCCGAAGAAATACTTCGTTCTATTCTAGGATAATTTTGACTTGGAATAGTAAAAAAAAATCTACAGAGGACATGGAATGCTAGTAACAGGCATTGTTGACCCAATCAACTGAACCGGCTTTATTGAGCGTATTTATGAAAGGTTGCAAATTGTTGAGAATTGCAAGTACATAAAAGCCTAATCGTAAATGGACGTGGGTCTTTAGAGATTTTTATAACAAGAATCAAAGACTCTTTTGCGTCAAGCGGGCGTGGAAGTAAGACAAGGCGAGGTCCACGAAGTAAGAGTTCAAATAACAACCAGCTAAAGCTATGTTCTCAACTATGTAGAATAACCCCCCCCCCCCAGTTGTATAACTGATGTTAAAAGCAGTAACTATGATGAATCGGAATACGAAACATCTCATTTTGTTGTAAACACGTAGATAAATGTGTTTTAAGACTAAATTCTTGCTCCATTTTTGCACACAAAGATACGCTGCCACTCGGTTTAAGGCCTACGTTCGTGTAATACATAATCCATCTCTATCAATCATAACCCTAAAGATGTTGTAAACATTTAATGAATGCGTAACAAATAATGGCGTTGCACGTTTTAGTTATCCACAAAAGATAAAATTTCGATATATCGCGCACACAACACGTAATGACAATCTGTTCATTGGTTGAAATAAATATTTTATCCATGTGGGCGTCCAGGATTGCTGCACCTTGCGGGGCTGGTAGCTCCCCGAAACTAGCGCGTTTGTTATATAATATCCCTATCTAATTGAAATCCTATTAGTTATGCAAATTCGTGTTCGCCTGTATTTCTCAATCACCAACTACGTACACGGCGTGCAGTTTACGCGTTCGGCGTGCTTACGCGTCGCATCGCTAAAAAACTATTTTGAAAATGTGCTTGTGGAAACATTTATATATTCCCAAAGCGACGTTTTTATCTTCGTATAGCTTGCATTCGATATGTTAATAATTCGACCGATATAATTGAGCGAAGGCCCAATGACATGCATACATGCTCTCATCAACACGAATATACACCACTTCGTCATCCCCACGAATATTAACTTAGCTCACTCTCATTTACTGAATATTAACTTAGCTCACTCTCATTTACTGAATTTTTAATTTGCCCACACACACGATCTCGCTTAAAAATGATTGATCTTTGTTTATAGTTTAAATATGATTCAAGCGTCGAGTGATGATTACTGGACCTTTAAAGATAAATTGCTTAAAATGTGGGTTCCAGCCGTAGGCGTGCAGACAGCTGCTGGTTTATGTACAAGGAATTTTGAGAAATTCTTTGCAGAAGAAATTTCTTGTGTGATGCCGGACTTCCTAGATAGAGAAATGATTAAAGAAATTTTCGAGCTTTATGTTTTCAAGCAAGATCTTGAGAGTTCTTTTGATACTCAGCCACCATTTCAACTCAATGAAGCTATATTGACGGGAAGTTTGACTGAAGGTCTTTTCCTCTATACCGCAGAGCCACCGGACGTAGACTTCATGTGCGAGTTAAAGAATATCATGTTTTCAAAGGATGATCAAGAATCTGGTTGCTTGTTGTTAAGAGATGATACGCCTTTCGTTTACGCATTTATCACAAACAAAGAAACACAACATCTCTGGAGAGAGTTTTTTGACGACGTAAATAAAGAAGAGGGAGTGCATCGACTCTCTTCAAGAAAATTAAAAGAAAAGCTACAAGAAAACTATCAAAAATCAGGCAGAACAATTTTCCCTTTCTATGACAATAAACAACTAGAAGAAGTAGCAGAAGGTGCAGCATTGACCGTCTTTAATTCAAAAACAGCTTCCTCTGTCATACATTATCCAATAGTTTTAATGAAAACATTCCTATTCGAACCATTAGCTAAAACACTAGAATTTCTTCACAACGACTGGGACCCTGACCCTTTTTTTAGCAGAAAACTGATCTCTTTCGATATTGTTTTGTCCATATTCTGCGAAGGATGGCCGTTCTGTGCAAAAGAATGGATCATAAGAGAACGACTTTGGCCAGATATACATTCGGTGGAGAAAATCAAACAAGGTGGATTTCACATTATCCCAAAGAGCTCGCCCGATGGAGATTTTCGTTTGTCTTTTTCATGTGCCGAAACGACGTTGATTAAAACTCTCACACCACTACAGCTTAAAGTAATGAGAGCTTTCAAAGCAGTAGTGAAATATTATCAAAATACCTGGAGTGAGAATCTGAAGGAGATTATATCAAGTTATCATTTGAAAACCATCGCATTTTGGCATTTTGAGAAATCCTCACAAGAATCTTGGACTGAAGAAACTTTAGTTCATCATCTTGTTACATTACTCGAAGAGTTAGCAGAAGCTTTGAGAATGCAATATCTTCCAATGTACTTTATGCCAAAATTTAACCTCCTCCAAGATGTTGACGATCCCGAACTAATGCTAGACTTAATGGAAAGGATTTCACAACTTTCACACAATTTCACTGCGATGTCTGAAGCTGTAGACAATTACACCACTAGAGTTTAAAAAATATTATTTTTACTTCGACCGTGATAAATTTCTTAGTATCTTCGATTCTGTACGAGAAGAAAAGAGAACAAAAATAGCTCAAGAAGTGAAAATTTCACTCGCCTGGTACGTTTTGTTCGATATATTTTCCTAGCCAAAACCTACAATGGCGGATTACAAGAACAAAACAAAACTATATTTAATTTATAACAAAAATAGTCTTCAATTTTTCCCAAATGATATAAAAAATAATGTTATGGTCATGAACAATCAATCATATTAGAAATAGCGAGTAATGTAGTCGTTAATTTTAAAGATATTCCATTTCTACGGCAACAGTGCGCCGCTGTAACAATGGACTGATTCAACATAGATAATTATGTACAATGTAGCTAGCTATGATGATAAGTTAATAATACTTGATCGCTATCCCTGTCTCAGCTGTAGAGATGTTCATCTTTGTAGGCGGCTTATAGTAAAATAGGACCTATTGACCTGATGCATAATTACGAAACAAGGCTTGATGCCGGGACGAGGGTAGCCTGCTCACAGGCTCTATATATAGAGCCTGCGACTTTTATTGATATTTTTCAATACGCCCCCTGTTACTCCCTCTCAGTCGTTTATCTTGGGTTGCAATGCATGTTAGTCGCCCGCTTTTAGGAACTTAATATTCGCGAAGTGGCATGCTTACAGTCGGCACACAAGTGGTAAGTATTGCTATATTTTGCTGTATATTTTGAATCTTCCTTTTGTAATTTTAGCTTATTTTGTTTATATTGTAGTTTGACAATTCGTAGAAGATAAATATAGTACACTTTTAAAGTCCTGTCGTGACAGTTGTTGTGTATCTATAACTATAAGATAACTTGATCGGTTATCGGCCATAAATCCATACGAGCCGTAAGACCTGTGTCGTATTTACACTACCAAGACGGTAGATACAGTCAAAGACTTGTCTATAGTAGCGAGAATATTCTACAATGAGTTTCGTAGTCACGAAACAAGCGAAAATATCGAAAACCCGCCCGGAGAGCCGAACGAAGCTATACTACACGATGCAAAACAAGATGCCTGCGAACAGGCAACTACAGCACAGGAAACCCGAGAGCGTAAAATGACAGAGAAAGGTAGAGAATATGTCTGTTCGTTGAAAAGAAAAGCAGCCCTCGATAT